CACGGAAATTATTGAAATGCAAAACCCAAAAAAAGCTGATTGGTTGAACTCTTCATCTTTTTCTGTTGCTTGTTTTGAGTCTTGTGCATGGACAGAGGCGTCACCAGGTTTTGGCGTAGTTTAGAGTGGCAAATCGTACCAGCGTACTTATGCCGAGTTCACACTGCACGATTTTAGCCCGATTTTTCACTCGCCGACAGGTTTTGCGAAATCGCCGACAAATGCCCGACATCGGAGGCAAATCGGTGCTCGTTCACGCGAGTGACGCGTGTGTTTTGTTGTGAAATGTAGTTTGCGGACCAGACAGAGCTGTCGGCGATTCTTCCTATTGTTAAGTCATGCAATGTGAAACCCCCTGTCGCCGATCCATCGTGCAGTGTGAACACAGCAGCAACTGAATGCTACCCCAGATAGTCACGCAGTGTGAAAACAACGGCGATCCGACGAGTTTGAAAATCGTGCAGTGTGAACTCGGCATTAGTGGTCAAAATGCGTAACCACTACACAAAATGTGTACAGGTTGGCAGGTCTGCAGAACCAGAAACATTTTTATGTTGCACAGGACCACCTCGTAGTCAGCTGGTAAGGTAGCTTACCTCAGCACTTCCTCTGTCTCCCAGGCTGCTTCTGCCTCATCCTCCCAGGCATTGGGGTCTTCCTGCCAGGTATCCAGGTCCCCCAGCTCCGCCTGCAGCACAAAGAGACATTGTGTTTACTGAGCATCATATCAATTGGAGGATTCCCAATAAATCTTTTTTGTTGTTGTTGATCTAGTGTTGATTGGCCTCACAGTCGCAACAGTGTGATTATCACTGTTACACTGTATCACTCACAGAGGGCTGGATGAAGGACATGTCCTGACTGGCGGCTAGTCGGCTAGAGAAACCTGAGGAGCTGTCTGGCATAGAGAAATTCAGAGGTTCCCTTTTCTTCAAGACAATCTGGAAAAAGAGCACAAAATGGCAATTATTTTTTTCTTTTTCTTATTATTATTAATGTTGAAAATGGTGAGACATTTTTAAGCCTCCTTTGATGAAATTAATTTAATGTCTTTAATATCACTTTTGAACAATTTATTGCAGTCTTGCTAAATAAAAATGTTACTTCAAACTTTTGAATGATATTGCACATTACACAAAAATGGGAATGAGAAGGTCAGCACTAAAACTGCACTAGTGCTTCAACAATATTTGGCCCTTTTTTCATCACAAGGTGAAAACTGTTATTCCCAAAACCAAAAGACTTTCTTGAATTTTTCACATGAAACTATAAAAGTCTCTTATTTCAATATAATTTAATTTCCACTTGCCCTAACTAAAGAAATAAATTGTTTAAAAAAAATGTTGTGTTTTTCTTGTTTTTAAGAGAGAAAGCAAGAGAAGGAGTGTTACTAGGATGTAAAAACATAAAACTACAGGACAGAATAAAATAAAAACTAGGACAGAAGATAGAGAGAAATAAATAAATAACAATGAACCAGCAGCAGATGTAACCCCTCCTAATAATCAACCTACTTTTTGTGTTTTCCTGATGGTGGGAGCCATGTCTTTGAAGTAGTCTGGCTCTTCTTCTTCAGCTTCATTCTGTGGAGGTGGAACTATCCCGTTGCCACCTTCAATTTTAATACTTGTTGGAGCTTCCTCGTCCCATGAGCTCCACTCCTCAATCTCTGGCTGAATTGAATTATACAACAAACATTCACTCATTTCATCAAGCAAAGGCCAATAGTAGTAATAGTCATCTGTCCAGTTTATTTCTAAGTGAAAGTGTGCTTTATTTTTGTTATTCTCATTGATGCATAAAAATGTGTGGCTTCTTTTTGTGAAGAACCTCCATGACAATTTAACCATTCGGACATGCTCGGTTTCAAAAAGCTCTTTCATTATACATTATATATTATATAGAGGAATACTTCATTTACATACACTATGAAATTGCGAAAAATGCGGCTTCTGATGCTAATGGCATTTTGTTCATATCTATTCTTAAACGTAATAAATATAATATAAAAAAGCATATAGTTTCTTAATTTGGTATTGAGGTAAATCTCACAAAATCTGTCAAGAAACATATTTTCTCCTAAAATAAAAACAAAAAATAAGAAGATCAAAACTGTACAACCATTGTTTTGCCACTATAAAGTCTAGGACATTATTTTCTAGACAATTTTGTAATATTTTTGAAAGAAGTCTCCTACGCTTCCTACACAAAGTATTTATTTAATCAATAATATAGTAAAATATATATATACTTTGAAATATTGTTAACTGTTTTATATTTTAATATAATTTAAACTGTAATTTATTCCATGGCAAAGCTGAATTTTCAGCAGCCAGTACTCCAGTCTTCAGTCATATGATCCTGTTGCTCATAAAAAAAGATATTTCTTATTATTTCGGTGGAAACTGTGATACATTTTTTTTTTGCAGTATTCTTTGATAAATAGTAAGTTCAAAAGAACAGAATTTATTTTAACTGTTTTATATTTTAATATAATTTAAACTGTAATTTATTCCATGGCAAAGCTGAATTTTCAGCAGCCAGTACTCCAGTCTTCAGTCATATGATCCTGTTGCTCATAAAAAAAGATATTTCTTATTATTTCGGTGGAAACTGTGATACATTTTTTTTTGCAGTATTCTTTGATAAATAGTAAGTTCAAAAGAACAGAATTTTTTTTTTTTTTAAATGTTTTGAGACAATGTATTTTTATTTTGAAAATGTATTGTATGAATTTGCCCTAAAAAAATTTACTTTCTCTATGCAAAGTATTTTTCTTATGATCCATTTCTTAAGCAATGATTATTGTAAATATTCATGACAGTCTCCAGCATGATGCATTTTTTAACCTGTTTTGATGCAGAGGAATAATCAACTGTGGTCGGGAGGGTGATCTGATCCCCACTCAGCTTGCGTGACCTTCCAGTCCTATATTAACAAACAACAACAGTCAAAACACAGTGTAGCAGAGGAAACTCATTACCACAGCATCACATCGGTAAGGGACATGCATTCATCTCTGGATCCTCCCATGTCAACAGGCTTCAGACTGACAATCTACAAGATGAATATGCGAGCAATTGAACAAGAGATTTATACTCACCTACAAATCAGTCTTTTCAAGAATGAGAGAATAGATGCCAAGCAGGTGCATATTTTAAAAAGGCGAAACTGTGTGATGGCCATGTTATGAGTGATATCTAAATAGAGACAAAGAATACAGGGACAAGGGGTGTTCATTAATTCATACAGAAGCACATCAAACCTCAAAGAATTAAAACAAGCAACGTCAGCAATTCAGACATGAAGATTAGGCACTGTAAGAATCCATGCAAAGTCCTTGGACACTAATTTTGTTTGCTAAATTTTTGAATGTTCTGTTTTGAGTTTTAATATGATCCATACATGTATATAATGCTTTTTTGCGTCACCCAGTTTGCCATATTGACCTTTACCAGCAACTGTAGTACAATAGCAATTGCTAATGTTAGCTACAAGCAAAGCCAGCTAACTAAACATATATGTTGCCTAATGAGGTTACTTCGCTTTAGTTTACATTCAGAGAGCTTGTATGCGTATATGCGTTATGAAACGGCGAATATCCATCTTAGTTACTCACCGGTCAGGTCAATTAAAGAGAGTTGATGTGGATAGAATCATAGCACGGGGCTAGCAGACTGAGGCAAATACAACACTTGGCCTTTACAGATGGGACGAAACAGGGAGATTAGTGTGTTTTGGCAAAGAAAGCGTTCAGGAAAGCAGAACCATCATGAATAGCGCCTGTCAAGGTGGTCATTCTCATCCATATTATTCTGATGCAAGCAGCCATCGTCCCTTCATTGTACTAAGTTACCTCACACCAACAGGGAACTGGAGTCTGTGTGGGTTGCCAGGTTGTCCGCATAAAATAATTTTCCTGGGTATGGTTAAAACGTGTAAATACTTTTTGGTGTCAGGAAAAGACCTAAATACACAATGTGTGTTTATGGACAAGAAAAAAAAACACCTGTTCATAGTGGTTCTGTATTTGTGCCCCAGTGATATACAACACGAATCATTAACCATTGTTATTTTGTAGGAGCTGTTCCTGCAGATAATGCAAAATACAAATATAAAATAAAATTACAATTTGAAATAAATTAAATAACATTATCCGTATGGTTTTATCAAACAATATATCTTGTTCGTTTAAACTTGAATGGTCATTTGCAACTTGGCAACCCACATGTTGGGCTCTTTTGCGCAAATTTTAAGGGACGCTTAATATTTTCTGCCATACCACACAATAAAAGTCCGTTCTAACATGTACTCTTTTTTTGCTAAATAAAAATACAAAAATCTAAATATAATGAATCTTACAAAACTAATTTTGAAATATGTTTTTAAAGACTATATATGTTAAATATGTTTGTAATATTAATAATAATATCTATCTATCTATCTATCTATCTATCTATATATCTATCCTGAAATGTATAGGCTAACACAAATATAACCATCAATTATAAGTAATGCATTAAATCTTAAATTTATTTTTAATTTTTTTTTTTAAAGCAATCACTATTAAAGTTTCTCAGTGTCCACAAGTGCCAGGTAGACAACGATATCACGAGGTATCTGTTTACTTTTCTCTGCGCTAAGAGGACGAACCAATCACAGTCGTTTGTGATTACTGGAAGGGTTATATTTAAAAGTCATTTTACAAGACGCTTTCGCAATGACATTCATTTTTGAACCAGATTCGAATTCTTATGAAGTAAAAGTTTTAAATGATTGTACTTTTAATACTACAAAATATATCCAATAGTATTAAAACAACCTGAGATTTGAATGCGGCTCAATGGGATATTGGGCTGTCTGAGCCTCGAAGCTCCCCCAAAGACCTCAAGTGTCAGTCTCCCAGGCAACGCCTAGCAATCCAACGATTTATTTTCTAGAAGTGGTTTCCATTTCGGATCGTGATCCGGTTGCGCCTCTAGTGAAAGGGAGGTGTGGCTATCAGTTTCTCCAGTGAAGGGAGCAGCTGGCTCCGCACAAAAATGTAGCATTTCACCAGCCCCCGTGCAATAATCGGGTAAACCACAGTTTTTGTTAAAATGCTAATCTCAAACATGTTCCCCTGTTAGCGTGATCCATGCATTTTTGGATCTTCTCGGCCTTGAGTGGGCGAGCAAAAGCGAGGAGCACCACCAGTGTCGCCAAATATGTGAGTATCGCCATGGTCAGGTAGCGCAGGTTTCTTTACACAGCTGGCTTATTGAATTCAGTGTTATTCAGTCAAAATCACGTTATTATGAACTGTTATGCCATACACTTTCTATTTCATGAGATGTAATAATATGATAAACGGTGCGCTTGCTTGGATGTTGTATGTGTTATTGTCCTTAGCCATCTTCAAAAAACGACTAAAAACACATATTTCTGTTCCATCTTTATTTGACCCTCTAACTCTAGCACTTTCCATCTATATTAATTCAACTTTATCTTTTTATCTTCTTTTTTTATTTTAAAAAACCCCCCACTAGCTTTCTATTTTTCTATTCTATCTACTTGTTTTTCTTTGTGTGTGTGTGTGTGTGTATGTATATATATATATATATATATATAT